TGGGAGCTAAATTTAATTTCTGAGGCTCTGCATAGACAGAAAACACTTCCCTGAAACTTTCAGTCTCATTGACCCTTCTGGTTTCCGAAATAATATTTTTCCCACCATAACTTTTACAGGGCCGTACGCGGGATTCAAACGTGCGCGAAAGCTGGATTTGAATTTTCGAGGTTGAACGTAAGCAAGGGATATTACCTCAAAATTTCAGCTTCCCAGCTTTCGTGATTCTCGAGATAACAATTTTTCATGGGGCCTCATATGGTACATAGGCGCAATTTAAATTTTGCTGGGTCGTACTTGAGCAGGGAATTCTGCTAAAATTCCAACTTCCTAGTTTTTGTGGCTCTCGAGATGAAAGTCGGGACAAAATGCAGTCGACACACACACACGAAAGCACAAGGGCGTGACAATGCGCATTTTGTGCTGCTGTTACACAGTGCAAAACACATAAAGTCATGTCGCTCAGAATTTAAGAATGTGTAGATTGAGTGGAAAAAAAAGAGATAAAAATAAAAGGTAAGAGATGAGTGATTTTAAAGGTCATCAGTTCATAAACAAAACTAGCAGATTCGAAATTAGGCTTGTAGACGCTATCAGAGTGACAGTGTTCTCAGGTTCACCTTGCTGTGTTTTCACTCAGCTCCGCGCCACGACCCTTCTAGTTTGTATAGGTTCTGTACAGATCTTCTGAGGAGTGCAACCCTCTTAGCGCATTTTAATAAAATTGGTCCTGCACGGCTAAAAGGATGATTCTTAGCCGAAATTCCCTTCCCTATTTTTTGTTTCACTATACTTGCTTTATTACTTTGGTCAGCTGCAGTTCCTAGGGTGATTCTCCAAGCTTTTTCTATTACTTCACTCAAATACTGCATCGCTTCATGGTTAGTCTGCAGACGTCAATTTCACTTCTTGAACATATTGCTACCTCATTTTTTCTTTTTATGATTTTCATACCAAAAACGATTTAGATACTATTTGAATACCATATGGAAGATTTGCCGCTAATCAGTCATGATGAATACGAGCATTTATTGAACTATTTCGACTATGATGTATATTCGCAAAGCTTCATAAAATCGCTTGGTCCTGAAACAATCGTTGATGTGAGCACTGCATTCTCTGCACTTTTTTTTAAAAACTATGCTTTTAAAGAATAATTTCAAGAAGTAGCCTAGCTGGTCTTGACAATATCACGGTACTGATCACTCCTCCACGTTATCTGGGACGCTTTCACTGCGAAATTACGATGTATATGTTTCAGCGACTGGATAGGCAAGCAGGAAAGGGGGAGGGGAAGTAAGAACGGAGCAGATACCTTATATTTAAACGTATGATAATAAATATACTTTATATGCGTAATTTTACCACAGTTAAAAAGTGACGTGTTTTTAACACTTCCTCTAATTACAATTCTGGATGATAACGTTTAGCCAGACTAAGCCATATGTAATCCGGAAAAACATGCTCATGTCGAGTTGTTTTTAATTTTTTTTGAGAAGTGCAGTGTTCTTTTGCTGTCTTATAATTTCAAAAAAACTTCATAATTTAGCGGTTTCTGTCAAGAAAACCGTTTAGTCAATGATTTCTGCAGAAGACGAGGGCAGTTCAGCATTAATCAAAGCATCTATGAAAATGATCATTTGAGGAAACAGTGCAGTGGCTGTAGCTGATCAATGCATCGGAGTAAAAGCGATTCCCAATATTGTACAGTGTTTAGGTGACGTTATCTGAACGTGGCTTCATTCAGTACGTGCATCCTGTCTGGGAAGCAGAATTAATTCGATTGATTCAAGAAACGGAAGGCGGATTGAAACTGAAAATACGAATTTATATAAAAAGAATGCGTGTTCAGGAAGAGAAACGTCGGCTTTTTTTTCTGTATTTCCCTCGCAAAAAAAAGATTAAATAATGCAGCAGTAACTAAGCCCAATCTAGCTGGAAAAGCAGCTGCTAATTCTTAGTCCGAATTTCCACTCATGCAGCTGGCAACTAACTACGAGTTGCTGCAACCAAACGCACAAAATTATGAATTAATTGTCTTTGGTTTTTATGCATTAGCAAATAGCTTTCGAAGGAAAGCGAGGAAGAGAGAAAAAACGGAGGGGAGGGGAAGAGAGAGGAAGGGGGAGTGGGGGGTAGGGGAAAGGGGCGAGAGAACAAAGTGAACTATTCGGATGGTGCTAGAAAAGGTTACACGCATCCTAGTAAAGGCTACGGTTTTGTCCTGAGAACACCTTTTGAAAGAAGACTCTGGCATGGTTGAATGTCCTACACGTAGTCTCTGGGCCACTGCGTTAGTGACAACAGAATCCCACAGTGACGAATTTCAAAATACATCGAAATTTAACGATCTTCCATAAGAAATCCTTTAAATTACTTTTTAGTGTTCTTAACTTTTAAAGAGTTAAAAACACAGGAAAGTAATTTGGGTGGGCGCACGTGCCAAAAGCGGCCAGCGATTGCCTTTCTGCTGACAGGGCTCTCACAACGACTCCCTTCATTTTGGTTTTGAATACAAGCAAGCTGATGACGGGTTTGATTCCATTCCTTATATCATTACCAATTTACCACTGAAAAACAATTGACAACGTACGGGTTGTCCGTGCGAAGATGCGTTTTTTGCATAGTTTTCCGCAGTTTTTGTCGCTACCGGCACTGGTTTTTTCGGCAAATAATTCTAACTGAACAAATTAAGATTGGCCGCCAGAACTGTCAGGAAACCCCTTTAAAATTTCAGCTTCCTAGCTCTTCTGGCTCCTGGGATAGCAGCTTACTGGAAGAAAACTTTCACGGGCCCGTACCTGGTCACCACGCATACCCGATGTCTGGGTTTGAGCTTGTTGAGGCTTACGTGAACGGAGAACATCCTGTTAAAATTACAGTATTCCAGCTTTTCAGGTTCTTGAGTTGGCAACTTACCTGAGAAGAACTTTGGTGACCCCATGCGTGGGTACCACATATGCCCGAGGGCTCGGTTTGAGCAGAATGAGACATAGATGGACGGTGAATATCCTTTTAAAATCATTGGCGACGCGCACGGGGGGGGCCCGTGCGATCATGCGTTTTTGCAGTGTTTCGTGTTGTAATAAGATTACTCGAAATCCCGCTAGCTAAAAACCTCTTATACATACTGGTCCTCGAATTTCG